TGACAGCCCCGAAGCAAAACAATTAAAGTATACTGCTGTCCTGGGGTGCCTGGGTGGCTCAGTCAGTCAAGTGTTTCTGCCTTCAGCTCAGGTCATGATCCCAGGGTCCTGGGATTGAGCCCCATGTCAGGCTCCCTGCTCAGTGGGGGAGCCTGCTTCTCCCTCTTCCTCTGTACCCCCCCACCTGTGCGCTATCTCACTCTCTCACTCTCTCAAATAAATTCTTTAAAAAAAAAGATTTTTAAAAAAATATACTGCTATCCCTGTAATGCAAAGGTAAGCTAATTTTGATTATATTGCAAACAGGGATGATGGGGAGACATTAGCTAGTTAACAGCAGTATGTCAGGGCCAAATGTGTTATCTTCCTCTAATATAGAACTATATTCAGAATTATAACTGGAGCACCTGGGTGGCTCAGCCAGCTAAGTGTCTACTTAAGTGTCTTCGGCTCAGGTCATGATCCCTGAGTCCAGGGACCGAGCCCCGGATCGGGCTCCCTGCTCAGAGGGGAGTCTGCTTCTCCCTCTGCCCCTCACCCCACTCGTGCTCTCTCACTCTCAAATAAATAAAATCTTAAAAAAAAAATCATAACTGAGATTGGTTATTATTATGAGACCATTGCTCGTGACAATTTCAGTTATTTGGTGGTACCATTAATCCGTGATTTCCCAGGGATTCCTCTGTCCTACTATGTTGGTGTATGTGTTGAGGGGCAGAGAAGAGTACAATTTCTACAGGTTTGCAGCATTTGACATTTCCAATCTAACAGCCCTCCCTCCACTGGCCAAAGGACAACTGAAGGTACTTCACAAGTTCCTAAGCCTATCTATCCCCATTCTATATCCTGAGGAGGGGGTAAAAACCACAGGATGGGAGTCATCATTCCATAACCCACAGAAGACTCGATACATCATGTATCATCTGACCTCCATACACTCCTAGTCTGGCCATGGCCAGTGGCCTCAGGTTTCCATCGGGAAGAACTGGAGAACAACTTACAGGATATACTGTGGCCATGTTGTAGTGTTCTTCCATGAGCTGCAATTTGCAAGGTGGTGAGAGACAAAATTCCAATGTTACTTTTAAATTAGATGGTTTAGTGAGAAAACAATCTAAATGACAATTCAAGTTGATAATTCAAGTATTGAAGTCACTTTCCCTCCTCAAATCATAGTCAATCTGATTTCCTTTTGGAGATTTTTCCTGTTGTGTGTAGTCTTGGTGAGACTGTCTATGCAGGTACCCAGGGATGGAAATGTAACCCCAATTAGGCCAATGAGATTATTTCTTCAGGTTTTTCACTCCTAAACAGTGTCAAAAAGACAAAACACAGATCTGACGCCCCCACTTGGGATTCCTTAAGAGGACTCTCTCTCAGCATCTGTCAGTGATAACTAGAAAAGATGCCCTGGCTTTCTTCCCTTTACAAACTTGGTCTTTTTCTTCTATCCTGTGAAGCACTCTATTACCTTCCAGTAAGATCTCTTCCGCTTTAATTAGCCTGAGTCGGTCTGGACTGCACACAACCGAAGAACTCGAGCTGAAACAAGTTAGGAATTGGGGCAGCCCTGTGATCCTGGCAGCAGGGAGTCCATGAGCTCTTCCTGAAGCTTAGTGCCCCGCCTTTGTTTAACTCTGCTCCTCTATCATTTGATTTAAATTCTCTGCAGAGTTGACTGGTTCCATTTACTCTGGTCAGATGTCCATCCCTTTTTCCGTAGTGCCTGGGCAATCTTTTTATGGTTCCTGTGCAAAATGCAGTCAACCGTGACCTTCTTTTCCCCACAGCCTGGAGTAAACTGAAGAGGGATTAAATAATCTACAATTAGACTAAAATACCTATGTAAAAGCACCTGGAAAAGTTATTACTTGAAACAGCACAAATGTGCTACAACCTGACCCATGATGTACAGGTCCACGTGACAAGTTTGCACAGACAGAACAGCACAAGCAGACTGAAGACAAAGGAGCAAAATTTACCCTACCCCTACAGGGAGTATCACAAGAGCCTCCAAAAATGAAGTCCTAAGAGGGTTCCACGTTACTGGCACATCATGTGGCCATATACACATATGGGCACATATGCGTGCATGCACACACATAGTGTGACACTGGCTTCCTATTTTCAAATAAGGTCTTGCTTTAGCCTCCTTTCCTTTTGGACCAAAAACTGTGCCTTATGCGATTCTTCTGCCTGAACCTGACATCTTTTCCTCCTTCCTCAACGTGACTCCTCCTTCTACCACAGGCAGTTCCCCTCCTGTCTCCTCTGACGTAACACCCTTACTCAAACAGCACCGGTACCTCTAGGACTCCTCCCCTCTCCATGACCCAGGATTCCACGTATCCTGGGTTCCTGGACCTTACCATTAATGAGTGTTCTGGAACCAAAATTACCTAATCTGTTGCTCGAAAGAAACACTATTACATCCATTTTACAGATGAGGAAACTTAACTTGAAAAAAGGGGTAAACTTGCCCAACGTCACTCACTAGTTAGCAAGAAATCTAAACTACTTCTGACCCTAGTCCATGTTCTTAATCACTAAGCTACACTTTCTGCTTATCCTTTCTACTTGTTTCCAAATAAATTTTAGAAACATTTTGCTGAGCTCTGAAAATTAGCATATTGCAGGCTTCCTGCTGAGCAGGGAGCCTGATGTGGGGCTCGATCCCAGGGCCCTGGGATCATGACCTGAGCCGAAGGCAGACACTTAATGACTGAGCCACCCAGGCGCCCAACATGTTACTTTGAAACACTTTTACCATATAGTTTTCCAAACCAGTAATTTGTAAGGGTAATGAAGCATATTTCACCCTAGTGGAATAGCTCAACCTTAGCTAGTGAGCTAAGATTTGCAATCATATCTTGTCCCTAGTTCAGGGAGTGGTCAATGTATTCTGATCAAATGAGGTCTCTACCCTCTAACCCCCTTCTTCATTAGCTGAACCACAAAAATTCCTGTGGGTCTTTGCTGTCAGCCATACCACTCACTGTCCTGACTCTCAAAGGCTCTGGCCTACAGGGTTGACCATGGCATCACATACACTTGACCCTTGACTCATTTTGACTAATTTATCCCAAAACACATAATCCATTTCCCTGCCCTGTTGTTCCATTTTGGCCCAAAGTGCTAGCAACAACAAAATGGCTTTTGGTTTTCCTGAGGACAGTTAAGTGTAAAGAAACGTTTAACTTCATATAGACTGCCTGGTTCTGGTGGCTACATTCCAAAACTGCTGCTACAGATGTATTATTTCCATTCTTAGTTGGGCCCTTGTAAAACCCCTTCTCAGCCCCAGATCTTGGTTGCAGGATTTGAACTCTAGTCCTAGCTCTAAGTAGTCCCCATCCCTCAGCTCCAAGCCCAAAACAAACTTGCACTTAGATGTGTTTGGGCTTTCGGGCAACCTGTGCATTTATCACAGCACAGACAAAAAATATTTAGAATAGAATGAGATAGCCTGTCTAGTGAGAAACACTTGCCTTATTCACCTTTGTATCCTGATGCAGTCAGTTAAATGGCTTAAAAACCAAAGGCTCTGAAAACAAGCCAGGGTTGCTTCTACCGTAGGAGTAAAATGAAGGTGGGGATCTTTAATCTGTAAAGAGGCAAACTGAGAAGAAACATACTCTTGAGCTCGTAAGGCAGCTTAGCAAAGTGGGAAAATCATGGACTATGGAGTCAGAAACCTAATTTTAAGCCCTACCCTCACCGCCTACCATAACCTTGAGAAAGTCACTATTTTCTATCCACAGAATATTTACTATTTCAACACCCTTCTAACTAGCCTCTATGTTCCCCATCTATTCTTTATCTTAAAAAACACACTAAAAGTAAAAAAATTTCTAGTATTATCAATCCTGCAGCCAACACACACAGGTTCAAATCCCAGCTCCTTCATTTACAAGTTATGTAGCTTTCTCATGTGTGTAAATGGGGTATTATCTATATTTCATAAAGCTGTTTTGGGATTAAATGATATTCAGTGCTTAGTCTACTCAGGCTCAAGAAATGTTAAATACTACATCACTGCTTACAAAATTCTAATGGTTCTCTATTACCTATACAATCACATCCAAATTCCTAACCAAGTAACACAGAAGGCCTTCAAATAAGATTCTCATAAACCCTAGCTCCCATCATATACTCTATTTTACTACCAGGCATTTTTCTGGAAACTTTAGCACAGGTTAAGTAACCTGGACCACGTAACTATGGAGGCAGTTTGGCTGAGTTGGTACCTGTTAACCCCAGGTACCTAATGTTTATTTAACTCCCTGTGCTAACGCAAAATCTGGGGTTTTGGAAAACCTGTGTCAAACATTTCCATGAAGTCTGAAAATCCTGATTTGTCAATCCTGGTCTTATTCCTACTGACTCACAGAACTCACTGACATTTCACAGTACAAAAATCACATTGTTTACGTACCATTTTGCTACAAAAATAAGCCACACATTTACTCATCAAATACTTAAGGCTACTATGTGCAAGGCATTATATTAGATACTGGGGATACGTTAATGAACAAAACTGTTGGGGGCAACAATTAAACACAAACCTAGAGTTACTGCTTAGTCTAATAAGGGCTTGACACAGAGCATTACCCTGAAGCAATGTCTGTGCCAGAGCCAATGTGGAAGTAAAGGTAAAAAATCTGTGAACAGATGTTATAGAGAACTTAAGAAAGCTAGTAATGGGCCAGAGAGTTATGGAAGAGAAGGGCAGCCCATGAAGAAAGGTTTTTACTCTATCCTAAGGGCACAGGAAATCCATGTTTTCATCCTATCAGATTTGTATTCCCAAAGAATTACTGTCTTTGGAGTATAGACAGATATACCTATTAGGGAGGTTCCTAAGGACTGCTTACCACAGATGGTAGCTTAGACAAGATTGAGAAAAGGTGAACCACGAAAACTGGCAGAGAATTAAGTGATGGACTGAATAAAGGTGAAAAAAGGTTAATCATCACCATTAACTATTCACACAACTCAAATTCCTCCACGGATCTTCATGTTTATTAGTGTAACTGACCATCTACACCAACTTGTGTAATTCAATCCTGTCCATCCTTCTTTGCAAAGTGAAAAATGGAGAATGGTGTAGACATCTGCAAAATCTGTCCTAAAATTCTAATTGCTTCATATTGTTTCCTGAAGATGCTGATAAAACGTGTGGTGAGACAAAACACCCATTAAGTTAGAAGGCAGTATATGTCATCCTACCTTTAGAAACAAAAAAATTAACCATGATCTAAAAACAAAAGTCCTCACAATTTGAATTAATGTAGCTCAAAAAAGTTGAATTGGCCAAGGATACACCTACAGAAAGCAAAGACACATATCCAACCTCTAAGACTTATATTCTTATATCTATCATTTGACTACAGGAAAAAAAAAAAAAGCTGTATTAGGAAAATCCAATCTCAGCACGCTTTTCCAATAAAAATTAGAAGGATTTTTAATTTCCAAGGCCTTTGAGAAAGCAAAACTAATGCAACACAAATTGAAAGATCTAATTAATAAATTTAACAACAAGCCAAAGTAATTTTGTTACATAAATTAACCCATTTATTATAGGCTAGTAATGTTTCAAATGATGAAGCTTCTACTGGTCTTTCAACTCCTTCAGTCTTCTGATAGCAGACTTTACTGTGACAGCAGAAGTGGTGCTGGAAAGAAAAACAAAGTTGGTTCCAATATAATTCACTACACTAACATGTGAAATGGCAAATGAGTAAATCCTGCCTCATTTTTACATTACAATCTTAAACAATGATGACAACTTTTAACAATTAAGAGCTGTGTCTTCAGGCTTTTGCAGAATTAAATAGGCAATCTCACGCAACTGATCTCTCAAGCAGCATTAAAAAAAATAACAGGGATGAATGAATGGTTGCAGGAGGCTGACCTAAACTCACTGAAAGGGAATGAACACAATGTCAGAAGAAATAAATTTTAAGATGGTATCATAAATGAGAGCTATCAAAAAAAGTGTCAAAATAGGTAGAACATACTCAAGTATGTTTTGGGAAGACAGCTATTAAAATGACTACAAAAAGTTATACCAAAAGATTCTGGAACTCTACCTGGAACACCCATAACCATTACATATGGTCAGTACAGGAATGCTAGTTCGTTTTATCATCACAACCAAAAGAGCATGCTAGGCTCCGTTTGCCTTTTTGACCTCATAAACGCCCACAAGACCCAAACATACATAAAAATGATCATTTCAACACTTTCCAATATTTTACACTGCTGCGGTTTTAAATCAGCTAAAATTAAAATTTCAACTCTTCAACCACACTAGCCTTGTCATTTTATACGTGGGAGGCTAGTGTACTGGACAGCACACATCTAGATACTGGATCACATATGAGCCTTTAAGGTCACCAATGAATTCCAAAATTAGAGATCTTCAAGGGCGGCTTTAATTTCCAGAAATGGATTAACTCAAAAGTCCACTCAATCAATAACCAGCACAGGTAAGATTTATCTCAGCAGCATCACCCGGCACTTGTCAGGGTCACAAAGCTGTCGAGGTCCAGCCAGTATTGTTTAGAATGGCAAAGGTGTCGTCGTCCAGGTGGCCTCAAGTTTCCATCCACAGTAACAAGCTAACTGACCTCATTTTTATAAAAACAGCTTGCAGTACAAGTCAAAGTTCAATATAGATTCAGTCCCACTAAAGGACCTGCCTGTACAGTATCATTATGCTCACACTGATGACCCTTAGAATTCTATGAAATTCTAAAGTCATGTCAGACTTTTCTATTATAGTAGTTTTGTTTCTAGTCTTTGAATAACAACATAAACCATAACTCTCCATGAGTCATGAAAAAAACAAAAGCATTGTTTTCTCAGTCTTGTAAAAAGAGTTAATTAAAACTAGCCCGTCCAGCGTCAAACCTGGGATTTTGATGTGATCCACACCCTTCCAAAAGCCACAAAGAAAAGGGACTCACTTGTAGGTCCAAGCGCCACCAGCGACGGTTTTCATGCAGGAGCCACAATGCCAGATCCCCACAGCTCGTCTTTTCATCTTTGTCTGTAAAAGACAATCAGTTTTCCCTATAAACCAATAAAAGCCTTTTACTCACCACCATCCAGGAGTCTAAATTACACTAGAAAATGGGTGTATTTTGGGGCACCTGGGTGGCTCAGGTTGGGATCCCAGGGTCCTGGGATCACGTCCCCCCCCCCTTCCCAAACAATACTCCTGCACACCATCAACATACAAGCATTACACGAAACTCTCCAGCAACACCAGTAGACAGAACTGACAAGAGTCATTTCCCACGAAGCAGGCTTGGCTTAGGCTGGGGCTCCTTGTCAAATGTTTGACCCTTTAGTTCCCAAGTGTAAAGGGAAAGCATTCTACGAAATCCAGTTATCAACAACCCAGCACACTATTCACAAACTTCCTTCAAGAGCGGGCTCACTTAGCAGGAAAGCCTCCACCCCCCCCTCCCCCGGAGACCATCTTACTTTGCCACAGAAGGAGCAAGTGTACTTGGCGTGCTGGCTTATTTCAATCTTCTTCACCATTTTCCTGAGGGAGGCACCATAACGGGTCCCGTATTTACCCACGATTCCGACCTTCTTGGTGCGTTTAGCCTGTTAAGAGCAAAGAGAGAAACCGGCGATATTAGGACCCGGGAACGGAGTCTTTCCCCCCGCTCCCCGCGCCAAACACCATTCCTCCAGTCACCCAGTCCCTGCCAGTGACCTAGGTCCCCCTCATTCCATCCTGGCAAAATCTGAGGCCAGAGCGGTCCCCGGGCTCCGAGGGCACCCTGTTAACCCGGCCCGGATGGGCCAGGCGCCACCGAGCCGCCCCCGCCGCTCCGCCCCAGTCTGCGTCCGAAAGGGGCGGCCACGGCACGAAGGCCGAGGACGGCGCGGGGCAGGGCGGGCGAGCAGACGCCGGGTGAGAGCGAAGATACCAAGAAAAGGTCAGATGCGGGCGGATAGACCTCTAGGCCTCACCGGCAGCAACACTCACCATGTCGCCGCAAACTAGGTCTGGGCCCAGAGAGGAAGAGACTCAGTGCGCAAGTGCAGTTTTAGGCGAACGGGCGGAAGTGGCGCATGGGAGGCCCAGCTAGGAATTAAACTCTATGCTCCGGAGGTTTCTTCGCCCCCGGGGCCTTTTGGGGGATGTGGTTTTTTTGTTTTCTGTATTAAAATTTTTATTGTTTAAGCAGGCTATAAAGAGAGAGAATTATTTATCACAGGCTTATTGCTAGGGATGGAAGGAGGTCAGTTTGTTACTTAATTAACTGGCTTCTTGAATTAATGGTAACAGATGGAAATATTAGACCAGTGTTTCTCAAAATTTAGTCACTCGAAAGCTGCCATCTCCAGTTTTTGCCATACTGGTATTGACTGTTTTACCATTTATTTTAAAGCTGAGTCACTTTTGAAAAACCTAACAAAATGAAGCTTCGTCCTAAGCCAAAACTATCTATGGAATCCAGGGAGAATGTGCTATGTGGGTATTTTTCCTAGTACGCATTAAAATCAACACATAAATACGCAAACGAAAAATGTCCATTGATGAAGCTGTTGATATTGACCCCCACAGTACATTTTAAAAACATTTCAGAAAATTTCAAATATAAACAAAAGTAGAAGAAATAGTATGATATACAAAGGCACGTCTTTTAAAACATAATAACTACATCCCTTCTTTAAAAAATGCTTCATACTGTGACTTGGGGAGATTATTTTTATGTTCTAATTAAATAAATACACACTTTCACCAATTAAATTATATATTGTATTCCTTGGCATTACATTCTTGCCTTTACATATTGAAAACATTAACCTCTCAGTAAAAACTACATCAAGAAGAATGATGCCTAGAGACACACACAGCAAGTACCTTGTTTTACACACCAATGCAACTGTGCAAACCCATCTCCCGGCTGGGGGAGTAGGATGTGCTCAAAATCTCCCAGTTCCACCACAGCCTCCAAGTACCCTCTGCCCCTTTAGGGTGAAGAACGGCAAGGGGCAGGGGGAGCAAGTCTCTCCTCCCTCAGGAGAGAAATACACTGCATGTTGGGGATGATTTCTGGACACCTCACCACCAAAACTATGCCCTGCTTCTAGAAAACTATAAATTAAAGCAAAATACGTTCCTATTGGTGCAAACAAATGGGATTGATGGAAGAAGAGTTGAGAAACAAGCACTCCAACTGTCCTCCTGTTCTGGTCTGTGCCTGCAGGTTGAGCAGGAGTGGGGTTCACTTGCCCTGGGTGAGTGTATAAGCATGGCCAGCTTGCACTCTCTGAGGTGAGGCCTCCTGGGCTGGCTCAAGAGCCTAGTTCAAATCATCATTTAGCAAATTTACCACCTCCACCCCATCCCCTGTGTAGCCTCCTGCCTCTCTGTCCTTCAGGGGGTCTGAGAGAGAGCAAGAGAAGATAGAATGCGTGAGTAAGAATGCAGTAGAATGGCTGAAAATGAGACACTCCATAATAGGAGGAAATTGTTCATGCTCAGAGCAATTTTCTCAAAACTGAACAATTCTCTTTAAATAGCAAGCTTGAGGATGTACAAATAGCACTCTCATGAAATCAGCTCTAAGTGGCTTCAGAGAACTGTGTACAAAGTCTCAATTTGTCTTATCTGTGGGCTAATAAATCTCCATCCCCATTAGAAGACCATCAGGTGTAGAGATGAACTGTAATACGTACCTATTAAAAGTCTTAGTAAAAACCTCTGCTGAGTCACACCTGCTCATCAGGAGCAAGCAAAATTCACTTTGCCCTTAAAAAAAATAAGTTAAAAGTTGCCTCTAGAGGAGAGGTCTTTTAGCTGTTGAGCCAACCAGTTCTCTTTGGGGCAATATGCAACATTTTATTCTTGCAGGAAATCTGAGGTGCAAACATCATCCCCAATTTATCTCATGCTGGAGACCAAAAGGTTTATCCTGGAGTCCTAGGCTCCATGTTGTTCCTTCACTTTGTGCCCAAAGAGCTCTTGCTTGCCCTTCACTGAAGTGCCTGGTGGCCACAAACAAGAGTGAAGTCTGCACACAATTTTAAGAGCCCTGTGGGCCAGCCTCCACAAGGGGCAGTAGACTCAGCAAGGGGAAGGCGGGCCCTGACAAGGCCAAGTCTTAAAACTCCTAGAATCAGGTATCCGAAAAGAATTCAGTATGTGGATTCATTTCTTCTTCTCTTCTCTCCACAAATTTACTTTAAATTCATCATTCCAGTTTGCTTTTTGTTTTAATGGACATTTCACAGGGCACTGACACAGGTAATGCATCCATCAGGATGGGAGTTACTTGGTAACTCTTAAAAGAGAAGGTCAATGGCGCCTGGGTGGCTCAGTTGGTTAAGCGACTGTCTTCGGCTCAGGTCATGATCCTGGAGTCCCGGGATCGAGTCCCACATTGGGCTCCCTGCTCCGCGGGGAGTCTGCTTCTCCCTCTGACTGTCTGCCCTCTCACGCTCTCTCTCATTCTCTCTCTCTCAAATAAATAAATAAAATCTTAAAAAAAAAGAGAAGGTCAATCAATATGAAACAATAGCCAAATATGTTATGTGAAATGAGCCATTTCTAATATGAAGAGTTTGATTCAATTTTTGTAAAAACAATTCTATGTATATTTATATATTTATATGCATTGGGAATAAATTGCCAATGGCTCCATCCCAAACTGTTTATGTTAGTTATTACCTGTAGGAAGTAGGGCTAGGAATAGGAGGGATGAGAATGCAGGGCTTTCATTTTTTACTTATACATTTTAATTCTTTATTTTTTATTTATTTTGTTTTATTATTTTTAAGATTTTATTTATTTATTTGAGAGAGAAAGTATGAGCGGGAGGAGGGGCAAAGGGAGAGGGATAAGGACAAGGGACTCTGCCCTGAGCACAGAGCCTGATGTAGGGCTCCAAGCCACAACCCTGAGATCACAACCTGAGCCAAAATCAACAGTTGGACGCTTAACCGCTTCACCGACTGTGCCACCCAGGCGCCCCGATTAGTTAATTTTTACATCAAATTTATAATAGTGAAAAGAAGGCACTACAGAGCACTAGATGAAGGGAGAGTCTTTTCAATAAGTGATGCTGAGAAACTGCATATTCATATGGAAAAAATTAACCTTGACTTTACCTCACTCCATGTGCAAAAATAAACTGCAATTGGATTGTAGATCTAAACATTAAGAGCAAAACAATAAACTTCTAGAACATACATTCGCAACCTTGGGATTATGGTTTACATGAGTGTTTTGTAATGTTTTGTTAAGCTGTAAATTTGTTTTATGAACTCTTTTATGTATGATATTTCACCCTAGAAAAGGGGAGTTAATAAGAAAGAGGAAAAGTGCCTGGCACTCAATAAGTCCTATGAATGGGTTGGTAGGGGGGATGTGGGCAGAGGATGTTGCAAAACCAAATAGCTGTTGGCTGTCATAATATCCCCAACACTGTGACTCACAGGCTTCTCGATGTTTTCTGCTATGATTAGGAACCCATTTCCTTAGCTGGGACCTCGCAGGAAAAGACAAAACCAAAATTGCAGGTATGAGAGAGTACTCCAACAAATTCTCTTGAAGTTTCCATGCCATTTTTTTTTAACCTTGTAATCCTGCACGTGGTAAGACGTAGGAGGATAGGGCAGGAGATAAGGTTGGACTTCTTTTCATACCTTTTGCAGTTTAAATTTCACCTACAAAGAGCGTCAGAAAGCACCAAGGTTCTGGGGTGGCTCAGTTGGTTAAGCGTCTGCCTTCTGAGGCTCAGGATCCTGGGTTTTCTGTGCTCAGCGGGGAGTTGGCTTCTCCCTCTGCCCCTCTCCCCTGCTCACGCTCTTGCGCTCTTTCTCTCTCTCTCTCAAATAAATAAAATCTTAAAAAAAAAAAGTATTAAGATTCCAATAGGTAAGAATGCATAGACAAGGCAAAATCCAAGAGCCAGCAGTGAGGGGATGGCACCTGCGGCTCGGTTTCTTAGCTCTCCCTCTGACCTAGAAAAAGGTTTGTGGGAAGCCAAGAAGGAAAAGACACGATTAATTCTAGTACAGATGGATCAAGGCTTACAGGATCACTTGCTCCCTCTAGGAGTCTTCCTGATCCCAGTCCTAAAGGCAGAAATTAACCAGGGTCATTCAGGGAATAATGACCCCAGTGAGGGTAGGCAGAGACAGCTCTGGTGGGCCTATGGGGCCTTTCGTAAAACCCTGTAAGGGGCCAACTGATGGCAGGGATAGGAAGTGGAATGAGACAGGCCCAGATTTTTTTCATTAGAACTGACATTTCCAGAAAACACAGTGGATGGTGGCAGGTATGTGTCTGGACTGACTGTGAAGTAAAGCTGGAAAAAGTGCAGAAATCCTTCCTTAAACCCAAAGCCATTTACTCTCTATAAATAAATCCAAGTGTCTTTTCTGAATCACACAGAAATGGCTGGATGGTTCTCAACAAATTCTAGAGGTACATTTGGGATGGTATAACTTAGAATATACAGGCTTCGTAGTACAAGTAAAATTTGCTTTGGAGGACCTCAAGGACATTCAGAGATGGTGAGTCTTTCTCTAGAGTGGCTGAAACTGAGGTTTAACTGGAGGCTTCAGACGGAGGCTCAACAGGCCATATTTACTAAGACTCCAGAAGAATAGCGGTTTTAAACATGCCCACCAAGGGCGCCTGGGTGGCTCAGTTGGTTAAGCAACTGTCTTCGGCTCGGGTCATGATCCCGGAGTCCCGGGGTCAAGTCCTGCGTCCGGCTCCCTGCTCGGCGGGGAGCCTGCTTATCCCTCTGGCACTCCCCCCTCTCATGTACTCTCTAGCTCTCTCAAATAAATAAATAAATCTTTAAAAAAAATAAATAAACATGCACACCAAGTTGCAAGGACCAAGGGCAAACCCTCCCAAGCGCAGGCATTGATCTGATACCTTGTGGCAGGCCCCCAGGTGAATAAAGCAGAGATTTATTCATTTAACAATGGTCACTGATTCTCCCAAGCAACACTGGATATACATGTCTCAAAATCACCTGCACCTTTCACTGTATTTCTGAAGCATACCCATTGTAGACTAACCACATCCCTAGAGTAAGGAGGAGCTCTTAAAAAAGTAAGGAATGAGATGCTATGGTCTCATTCTCTGAGACATTCAAGAACTTGACCAAACTCGAGCAGGGCTCCTGAGAAAGCTGCACCCAATCTTTGAGTGAGCAGCAGGCGAGTCTCTGGAGACGTCCACAGACTCACAGAAGAGGGGTTCGTAATGCTCCTCAAGCCGTGTGATGTCAGGACAGACAGCAGAGGCTGTGGCTAGGCTCTGGGGCAGGCGAGGAAGAAATGCTCCTTTCTGAAACTCTCTCAGCATCTAACTGTGATCCAGAATCTTTCTGCTTCCTGGGCCTTAATTCATTCCACAGACTTTTCTGAAGTGACTGGTTGTTTCCATCAATGAGCCACCAAGACTGCAAAAACCACTGCAAAAACCTCGTGAGCAATGTTGAGGTAGGATTTTAGCATTTCTTTTCATACAGATTCTGTCCTCATTGGGCCATCACTCAGCAGGCCACCCTGTGCACGATCGACTGTATCCTTTTCCAGAACTACACTGATGGCTGTGTCCGTGGCAGATTGATTATGGACTCCAAGGGCAGCAACCATGAAGTGATGTAGTTGGCTTTCCAGAGCACCCACTCCTGAGGGAACTAAGGACAATTTATTTGATGACACAGCAGCCGTTGCTCTTAATTACTCTTAGACAAATATTTATTTTAAGTGGCCGTTTGGGACAAAATTAGAGTAAACTTTAGATAGACCCATTACTTGTCCTCTGGAAGCTTCCAACAAGTCATAGTATTATAAACAAACTGGTACAGCTAACAAAATTTAAAAACAAAATAGAGAGCTGGAGGAAAAATAGTATAAGACCACTTCCGGTGGCCTAGAGGAGAGCCCAGACAAGCATTCTCTCTCAGGCCTTTGACTCTGGATTTTTTTTTTTTTTTTTTTTTTTTTTTGGTAACACTGGGTCATTCTCATTTCAGGAGGTGACAGAGGAAACCAAAGGCCTAATTATCTATGGAGATCTGGCACCACAACATGGCAGGATACACCAGCAGGATGCAGGCTCAGCTGTTAATCTCCACAGTCCTTTGCAGAAAGACAGGAGAAGCAACTCATGCCCCTCAGATGTAGGTGTTCAGGCTGGATTTCCTGAAGAGCTCTGACCCTACAGAGAAGCTCATAGCAGTAGATCAATACAGTGATTAATAGGAAGCTCAGTAACTAAATGCCAGGTTTGACTGAGGAAGGCAGAAAGTTAGCCAGTTATTTCCCAAGGCCAAAGCCTCCCACAGGACATGGCCCTGCAGTCTGGATCGGATTGTACTGACATGTCAGTATGTCTGACCACCCCTGAGCAGCAGTGAAGGGGGTTGGGTGGCTCTCAAAGATCTCTCTCTCTGTTGGAGCTGTCTAGAAGCCCTGGAAAGGGGGCTGAAACGCACAAGAAAATGGTGCATTCCAGGGTCTTGTTCTAGTTAGAACAGAGTTAGCTGGGAGCCTGCAGGGAGGCTGAGCCCCTTGGGAAGGCAGCCCCTTGGGAAGGCAGCCACGCAATCAGCTGCTCATAGACCCGCCAAACCACCCCCAGCCTGCTGGTGTAAGACGTGTGCATCTACCCTAGAGTGGACGGCTCTAGAGGGGGTGGCCTAGCTGTAAGTCCTGCTCTGCCACTTCCTAGCTGAAGACTGTCTTGGCTCGGTTTCTGCATCTGCACAATGAAAATCGAACTACCTTCCTCTAAGGTGGGGCTCACTGCGTCAACACATGTGAAGTGTCTGGCCCGGTGCCTGGCACCTAGTAAACAGTACGAGAGTGAAAACCATCCAAGTCTAACAAACAAATGCACACACAGTCGTGCTGGAGCAACTCAGACATCTTGCACTGCTGCCAAGATAATTGGACTAACTCTAAACCTTTACTTAACCTGGTCCACTGTCTTTCGACAATACCAACTAAAGCAGCCAACTCCTTCCTTTTTGAAACACTTTTTTTTTTTTTAAAGATTTTATTTATTTATTTGAGAGAGAGAGAGAGCAGAAGCAGGGGGAGCAGCAGGCAGGGGAGAGGGAGAAGCAGGCTCCCCACTGAGCGGGGAGCCTGATGCAGGGCTTGATCCCAGGACCCTGGGATCATGACCTGAGCCGAAGGCAGATGCTTAACGACTGAGCCACCCAGGCGCCCCTTGAAACACTTTTTAAATATCCCCCTCCCGGACACCCATTTTGGTTTTCTTCCTCTTTTTCTTTGCTGTTTGGTCTTTTTCTCTTCCCAACCCTAACTGTTGACGTGCTCTGAGGTTAGTTAGATCTGCTTTTTTTCTCCAAAGCCACCTTACCTGCTCAATCTCATCCAGCCCCATGACTATAAATACCATTTATATCTGGTGAGGGCAGAAGTCACAGCTCTAGGTGTGACCATCTCCTGCCGGAGACCCAAATCCTACAGCCTACATAACCTAGCACTTGGATCATGCCACAGGTTGGGTTTCCCAGAACCACACGGAGTGGGTGGTACAAGGTGTTTATTAGAGATCAATGTCTGTGAAGGAAGGAGAGGAAGCAGGGCAGGCAGAGAGAGGTGAACTAGAGCCTCAGATGGCCCCGCGGGAAGTGGGCAGCTCTGCAGCGAATATCACCCGCCCGGCAGGCAGGGGTGTCCCACATGAGGCCTACGTGGCCTGGCCTTTGTGGCACCCTTGTTCAGTCACTGACGCAGGCTGCTCCAGGAAGGGTGTAACCTCGGACAAAGTGGCTCTCCATGGACTGAGACCAACTGGAAGTTGTGGCCAGGTGGAGGCTATATGCTAGGTGAGCTCCCTGAAGCTGGGCAGGAAGCTTCCCTCCTTCAAGGGGGAGTTGGGTGGGGTGTCTCCGTCTCAAACTGAACAAGTCCATAACCAAAACCTTGGTTTTGCGCTGCCACCCAACCTACCCACACTTCATCTTTTTTTTTTTTTCTTTAATCTGAGTCAAGGGCACTACAGCTTTGCTCAGGCCAGATCCTAGGTCTAAGTATTGATTTCTCCTTCTCAAATGCCTCTCGGTCAAGGCATCTCAAATTCGTTCAGCTCTACAATCACAACATATCCAATCCAAGCACCTCTTACCTGCTTCATACTGCCGCTCAGCTGGGCCACACCTTAGCGTCACCCCGTGGTCAGCTGCAATAGTTCACTAGCCTCCTCTCAAAACTGCTCCCCTGACCATCCTTCCCGATCTATTTTCTGCACACAAATTGGAGGGATCTTTCATTTTTTAATTAATTTATTTTTTAAAGATTTTTTTTTTTTTATTTTAGAGAGAGAGCGTGAGTGGTGGGAGGGGCAGAGGGAGAGGGAGAATCTCAAGCAGACTCCACGCCCAGTGTGGGCCCGACGACGGGCTTGATCTCACGATCCTGAGATCATGACCTGAGCCGAAATCAAGAGTCAGCCGCTTGGGCGCCTGGGTGGCTCAGTTGGTTAAGCGACTGCCTTCGGCTCAGGTCATGATCCTGGAGTTCCAGGATCGAGTCCCGCATTGGGCACCCTGCTCAGCAGGGAGTCTGCTTCTCCCTCTGACCCTACCCCCTCTCATGTGCTCTCTCTCATTCTCTCTCTCAAATAAATAAATAAAATCTTTAAAAAAAAAAAAAAAGAGTCAGCCGCTTAACCAACTGAGCCATCCAGGGACCCCTTGAGGGATCTTTTAAAAATATAATCAGATTGCCTCATATCCCTGTTCAAAACCAGTCAGTGGCTTCATGTTCAAATTTAAATCTGATTCTTTACACGACCTAGGGGCTCCACATCATCTGGCCTCTTTCTCTTCAGTGACATCACCTCTAATCCTGCCACATGATACCCCACACCCCTCACCACTCTCTAAACCTGTATTGGCCAACACAGGAGCCAACAGCCATAAGTGCACTTGAAACAAGCACTTGACATTGGCTAGTCCACTCTGGGAGGTGCTGTTAGCATCAAACACACACTGGGTATATAGCATGAAAAAAAGAATGTAATAGTAGAAAGTGTCTCAGTAAGTTTTTAACAGTGATTGTATGTTGAGCTGACATTTTGAAGATAGAGTTAAAGAAAATATTACTAATTTGATCCGTCTTTATTTTTTTAAAACACTCTTTTAGAAAATTAAATTCACATCTGTGGCTTGTGTTATATTTCTGTTGGATGGGGCTGCTCTAAACTAGGAGTTAGCAAATTATGCTTTGTGGGCCAAATCCTGCCCACTGCCTGCTTTGGGCTTTGTATGGCCCGTGGACTAAGCACAGTTTTTACATTTTTTAATGATTGAAAAAAAATCAAAAGAAAAATTCGTGACCATGAAAATTATATAAATTCGAATTTCAGTGTCCATAACAGAGTTTTATTGGAAAAGAGCCATAATCATTTGTTTCTGGATTACCTAGGGTAGTTTTTGTCCTATAGCAGCAGAGTTGAGTCATTCCAACAGAGACAACCTGGCCCATAAAGCCAAATATATTTATTGTCTGACTATTGACAGAAAAAGCTTATCACCTCCTTCTCTAAACCCTTACCTCCTTAATTTTACTTTTCTTCGTAGGATATATAACTATTATCTCTCCTGTGATGTAACTTTTACAAAGGTACCAGCTTTCTCGCTTTTGTTGAATTACTGCCAGCACCTAGAACACTGCCTGGCACATATCAGGTGCTCTATAAATACTTGTTGAATCAATACATTTTAAAAACCCAGATTTCAGGGGTTGCATAGGAAGCACCTCGTTACTTAAACAACATGAATTATCACTACTACAATCTGCTGTCTCTATTTCTCAGCCAGAAAAGCTAAGGTTAAGACCCCAGGCGACCCGCACAGAAAGGCCAGAAAGGAAATGCTGTGCCGAGGCCTGCTAACTCGCTGGGCCAGAGACAGACGCCAGCACTGCTGTAACGTCAAGAGGAGCACAAGCTTTAAAAACAAAACACCTTATTTTATTTCCATGATTTTTAAATGCTTTTTTTTTTTGCCCCGCTTATAGGGGAGAGGTAAAGCTGTCAAAATTATCAAAAAATTCGTATCTCCTTTTCTTCACGGGGCTGCCCATCAACGTTATTTCGTCCACTGTGTCTTCCACGTCCTGGGAATCACTTCCAGGTGCGCCGGAAGCACTTCCGGGGTCAAAGGATTCCGCTGCCTCCAGGAGCTCCATGTCACTTCCATCCTCCTCAAAGGACTTCTGGAAGAGGTCATAGATCTTCTGCTGCTTTGGGTCCTTTATCAGAGAGAGAAAACAATAAAGTTAGAAGGCAGGCTCCAGCACCGACTCTCCTTGGGCCACTGAGGCTGGGGAGGAGGCACGGAGGTGGGGGCTGCACATTTTACGGCGTCAGGTGCCGCACGACGGCCACTGTAGACCAGGGCGGCCTTACTGCCTGACATCGTTTCTTTTCTGCTGCTTGTGGAGTAAAGGAAAAGGGGAAGGGAAGTTAGAAATGGTGTGAGAGCCATAAAGAACATGCTCTCAAACTATAACTTATGTTGGAAATGTCTTCTTCCTTCTAGCTTTCCAAACTGGTATTCAAATAGCTCCTAAGCTCTCACTTCCTGCAAAGCCCTTCTCCACCGAGGGCTTAGTTAAGTTGCAATTCAACTGCCAAACCCGTGTACTCAGCCACTGCTTACACCTAATTTTCGGAGTGGTTGATGCAACATACCCATACTTGACATACGGAGAAGTAGATTCCCATACTTGTTTCTCACTATCAAATCTGCCAATGATCAAAAGGCCCACCAGCTGCCTCTGTGCATTGACGGCCCTGGCGCAGTGTTAAAATCATGCCCAGCAGTTACAACCATAGCACACAATGGGCTCGCTATCACCCCTTTGCTGATCTCTCCCAAGTGTGAATTCCCAACCCTGAGCGTCTTTCAATCCCGGTGTGCTTTCAACATCTCCACTGACATCCGGTTCCGTTAAACTAACGCTGTTTAAAAACCCAAGCCATCTCTCCTCTCAACCCTACATCCTCAAACCAGCAACTCTCTCCAAAAAGCCTAGTTCTGATGGTCTACCAACATTCTTCCGGTCTCCCTGGCTTGCGATCACCAGGGCGTCCTGACTGCCTATCTCACACAGACTGACAGTAAGTTTGCCTCTCTGGGCTGTTTCCCCTGCGAAGTTCCACCAGCACACTCTCACCTGGGCCACAGCACTCGATACCTGCACGGATCTGCAGTGGCGCACCTGTGCTTCCCACCCCAGGCTTCTCCTGGTTTCAATCCCTGGCAGGTCTCTGCCGGGCCAATTTCTGCCCCCCATTGTTCTTTAACAGGATTTTCTCATCATGTCCTGGGGCTCCCCCATTGTGTCTACCTCATCAGTACTGAAGTAGCTTCCCTGGCTTTTCAGCCCCTTTATGATCAGTTCTCAACCCAGCTGGTCTCTATTTCCTCACTGCTCCTTAACAGAAGCCCCCCGCATTGGTGATGGGAGGCCCCTGAAAACTGACCATGGGAGCAGTCATGTGGGAACTCCAGATTGCCTAATGTGCCTGCACCCGACATACCCTGGCCTTTCAGGATCCCAGCCTTCCCAACCAGGAGTGATATTAAAGGGTCAGTAAGGTCAGCCTCACGTGATCCACACATCCTCCTCTAGAAATACCCTCATCAGCCTCTGTCTGAACAACCGCAAGGTTAAGGAATGCCGCCCCAAAAGGCAGCCTGTTCCAAGTAAAATAACTGTTAACCTGCATTTGATTATGGTCGTGGCAATACTATGCTCTAACTCAGAGCATGCCTGACTAATGGAAGCAAGGTCCAAGATCGGATCAGTATTTCACTTCACCTCTGGGAAAGCAGGCTGTCTTAGCGAGACGTAACTGCTTTTGCTTTAATCTCCTCTTAGAGGCAACATTTTCTTTTTCTAGTAGTTGATGAAATTTTCAGCCCCATTTTAATAAAAAAAATAGAGATAATTATTAATCAAAATAAGTATTGATAAACGGCATTTATATTCTCTTATACTTTAGGCAGAAATTCTTAACTAATTCAGGGTGAGGGTAAAGGCAGTATAAATAAATGAGTTCTAAATGAACTCATTATTGAGTTTGAGAAGGTTGAGAATCCTTTAAAAATAAGGTTCCTTCTTTTCAAAGGGCATATAATAACCAAGGCTCTGTGAAAATATTTACCATTCAACTGAATTAGAGTTCTTTAAAAAGGTTAAAAATAAGGTGGTTTCAAAATTAGCTTATTAACTGTTTACATCTATGAGGATAATTTATACTCTACATTAAAAAATACGATTTCTGGGGGTGCTGGCTCAGCTGGAGGAGCATGCAACTTTTGATCTGGGGGTCACGAGTTCAAGCCCCACATTGGGTGTACAGGTTACTTAAATAAGAACTTAAAGAAAAATAAAAATATGACTTCTGAGTCTTATTTATCTCAATAATTACATTTGGAAGGAAGCATTTAGTTGCTACCTCAATGTAAATGAAAGATCAAACCCTCAGACTTTCTAGTCTTCTTGTCACTCAAAGATTTTGCTGATTTCACTCAGACTCTGATTCTGGGCAGTTCCAGGAGGAAAAGACACTTTGGTTTCCAGATGAGCTACGGTAAAGCCACATTTCTGCATGAGGCTGGGTGAAATCCGCAGGAGTGATCCACACCTCTCTCAGGACCCAAGGGCTGAGCAACTTAATGCCTACCCCTGCCCCAGTAGCAAGGAGACATTTGCTGGTGTTACCTTGTAGAAGTAATTAGTAGCTTCTGTCATTTCTGAAAAATTGGTCTCAGAAAGTCCGGCCTCACCCAGAACTTTAATCTTCTCTTGAACTAGGGGCCTGTTGGGAAGAAATGAGCTGCAGTGAATACAAGCTGAGCAGAACCACTGGGCTGATTAAAAGGAGATCACCCGCCTTGTTTTTATGCGACTGAAGTATGCTGTTTCACTTCTTTGCAGCTCTCAAGGCGCCAACGCCCAACCTCAAATATTTGCCTCCCCTCAGCTGCAAACCAATTTAGGGTTCGAGTTAATCAGGTTCAAAATCCTTTCTACTGGAAGATATAGAGGAAATAAATGTCTCATTACGACAAAATTCTGAACCTGGTGCTGTGATGAGCTGCCCAGTGAACAAACCCACAAATCCAAAGATGCAGGAGGAGGGACAACCGACGCACATGGCAAAGGTAAGACCCCTTCGTCATAAAGCCGGGAACAGAGACGAGTAGTGGAAACTGAGATAATCAAGAAACTTAGTATCAGGAAAGGGTAAATGGGACTGAGAAGGAGCATCTGGAGATTTTTTTTGCTTAGGTACCAGACATGAACGCAGGGTTGAACATTTTACCCCAGCTCTGCTAAGGAAGCACTACATGGCCTACAGTGAACCCACTTTCTCCCAAAGGTCAGCAGCAGTACTGTAGGGAGGCCTTACTGTACCAATACATGCCATAAAGGGGCAGAGGGGGACATCGCTGTGTCTCAGCAGTGCCTTCACAGCTGGGACAGAGTGTCTTACGAGCAAACCTGCACCTACACTTCCTCACGATCAGCTCCCCCTCCCTTGTCTCAGGCCACATCCCCTTAGTCCTCATGCACCCAGCAAGCTGTGAGTGAATGCTGTGAAGGGAGGCCCAGCATGCTCATGGTGCAAGTGGGAGGGCATGACACCGGGGTCTTCTGCATAGGTCCCTGAAGACATCAGCAAGAGCAGAAGTGGTTAGGGAGCGAAGGAGATACATCACTGGCATCAACCCTCACTCAAACCCCATGGCCAGCCATACCAGAGGTAGTCGTCAGCTGTGCCTCTTGCCACGAGGTAGTGGATGCTCACGGAGCTCGACTGTCCAATTCGGTGCACCCGGTCCTCAGCCTGGAGCAGCACCTGTGAGGTCCGGGGATCAGGATGTATACAGGCCGAGGCCTGAGGGGGCTCTGTCCACCACAGCATGCAGCCCCCTGCCCCTGAGCCCACCACACCCTCTCTCCTCAAAGGACTTCACTCCATGACCCAAGTCTGCAGGCTCTGCAGCCTCTACCTTCAAGCAAGCTGCCATCTAACACAAGAGAGAACCAAACCAAACTAAACCAAAGTTCTGGTGGAGCTAGACTCTGCGGCCGGCCAGTTGTGGGCACAGCACTAGGTGCTCGGAGGAACAAACAGCAAGCACCGACTCTGCTAGGAGGCTGTGCTGAGAGCAGACGAAGGAAGCCCGGCACGCCACCATTCTTCTCACCGGGAGAGAAACTGTGACCTTCTAAATAAACATATCGCCACTGAGGGAGAGGCCATATATGATCAGGGGCCGGGTGATTCTTTAATATGGTGGTAAGCCCTGTAATAAATAACAGAGCCCAAGAGCATTGTTTCTATTATCTATGCCTTCAGCCTCGAAGTCCACCCATCACGAACCAGTGCCCAATGACACATATCTGCTGTCACAGCTCTCCGCTCATGAGATGAGGCCAGTGGGGCACCCACAACGGTAGCCTGTTGTGGCCGCATCGGTAAAGAGCTCGCAGTGATGGTCAATACTAGGGGCACAGACTGGAAGGCCAGAGGCCTGGGCCATGGCTGCTGGGGCCACACGCTCCCCTCCGGGGACAGCTGGGCCCTTGAGCTATCTGTGCCCCCATCTCCTCACAGAGGGAGGACTCCTAAGATTCCTCCTGGCCTTCCCACACTTGAACATTCCCTTTGGTAAGATGGAGTCGATAATCCTACTACTTAGGAGACTGCCGAGAAGATCTAATAACTAGCTGACAGATGTGCAAGCCTTCACTTCTTTGAAGACTGACACGGGGGAAGTACAAACATGTTTCTTAAGGCCTAACAGAAATGGATGGAAGACAAAACTGGTGCTAGGTGGTATCTCAATGTGGTTTTAATTTGAATTTCCCTGATGGCTAATGATGATGAACATTTTTTCATGTGTCTGTGAGCCATTTGTATGTCTTCTTCAGAGAAGTGTCTGTTCATGTCTTCTGCCCATTTTTTGACTTATTTATTTTTTGGGTGTTGAGTTTCAGAAGTTCTTTATAGATCTTGGATACCAGCCACAATGAGATACCACCTTATACCAGTTAGAATGGCAAAAATTGACAGGGCAAGAAACAACAAATGTTGGAGAGGTCGTGGAGAAAGGGCAACCCTCTTGCACTGTTGGTGGGAATGCAAGTTGGTACAGCCACTTTGGAAAACAGGGTGGAGGTTCCTCAAAAAATTAAAAATAGAGCTACCCTCCTCCCCGGCCTTGCGGGGGGCAGTGTTGTGCCATCCCTAGTGGGCATGACCAGACATGCCCTAAGATATTGATTCTTACTGTGTTTTGTAAAAATAGAGTGTAGTTTACAGGAAAAGGAAACTTTTTAAAAAAGTTATCTACATGCAAAACTGTAGGTGATGAAAATGCTGTATTTTTTTTCATCTTTTTTTGTTAACTGATTTGCAACAAAAGTAATGCTGATGGTCATCCCGATTTTGCTAAAAAAAAAAA